CAGCGGGGACGAGGACACTTCCCGCTCTGCAGCTTGCAGTGCGTCGCCTGCGCCCCGCGACAGTGGTGCCTTGGGCTCGGCTGGGGCGAACTTGCCGACGGCTTCGCTGTCTCCAGCGACCCCTAAGGACGGGGGGGTGACGCTCGCGGCCAACCTCCTTGCCGCCACGGCCTCTGACGGAGACGCCTCTGATGCCGACGACTCCCGCAGCGTTGCCAAGTCGCGCGTCAGCCGCGGTAGCTGCGTCACGGGGGTCACTGCCTTGGCTCATGGTGATGCGACTTCTCCAGGACCCACTCGGCTAATACACACCGCTCCATTGTTCTAAACATTGGGGTGCCATTCAGTAGTTAGGTCAGTTTGTGTGGCCTCATTCTGGCGGTGCTTGGCTCGGGTGTAGCCTGCATGCATCAGATCGGTCCCTCCTGTTCTGGAAGCACGCAGCGTGGGGCTAATGCCTGCTTAGATAAGCCAAATCGTTCAGACGAGAGTTTGGTGCGGTGCCTTGCGGTGCCGAAAGCTATGTTTCTTTTGGTTTGTTGTTATGCTGTGGCCTGCAGTGTGAGACCCCCAGGAGTACTCGAGAAATGGAAGGGCAGGATCAACTTGACCAGCATCATGGCGGGCAAGTTGGACGGGCGTTCCCTGTCTGGAGCTCGGAAGGCACTCGGCAGAATGAGGGCAGGTGAGGGCGAGAAATCCATGGAGGTCGCGCTGCTCAGCAATGTCATCAAGCTGGCAGAGTCCGCGGAGAACCTGACCCCCGACCGCATCAAGAGCACGCCCCTCAGCGAGCTCCAGCCCCACATCGACAAGATGATCCAGGAGAACGTGATGTGGCCCGAGGCAGTCCAGACCGCGCTGGTGACAAAGAGGCTTCAGGGCGCAATCGGCTCGAAGAACTGGAGCTCTGTGGTTGATATATGCACGCCATGGCGGAGTGATGCTCAGACGGCGGCGTTCGACCCGAACGACCCCCGCGTGGCGACCTGCGGCGAGAAGCTGGTCTCCAAGGTCCAGCTCTTCAACAATGTCGTCTTCGAGAAGGTGCTCATCCCCCTGATCCGCGGCGGGCCCGACAGTGTGGACGAGGTGGTTGGCTTGGCCACTCACTGCTGCGAGGCGTATCGCGACGTAGACCTCTAGGAGGCAGACAACGCGATCGCTGCTGCGCTGGACGAGTGGTACACGATCTGGCACAGCCTCATTGCCATGGGGTCGAAGGGTCTTCACTCGGAGTCAAAGGACTGCAGTGCAAACGACGCACATCGCAAGCTAAGTTGCTCGCAGCTCATGTTTTAAACATGGCCACCCCGAAGTCCAGGCCAGCCGGCCTTTCTGGGAAGCGCCTGGGTTTTGGTGTTGGTTTGCCGAGGCTTTTCTAATGGAAACGTATGACAGCCCAGGTCACCATTTAAGTGAATGTGGCGCCCGCCAGTGCGTTTGTGTTTTCGGGCGGGGGGTGCAGCTGCGACCACATGGGTGCGATGTGTCTTGCTCGATTGCACTGCTCGCGCGTAGGAACACATGCAGGCCTTGCACGCGCACTGCGGCAAAACGTCGAGATCGTCTCTGTGTTTGGTGGCCGCAGCGGTCGAGACCACGTGCCACTGGAACACCAGGATGACGGAGTACATCAAGGCTTTGAAGGACATCGACAAGCTGGATTCCTCATATCAGGAGGCCGCGACCCTGCTCACCACTATGACCGACGATCCTTGTGAGTTTGTCCCGCTGATGGGGGCGATGTGCCGAAACATGGGCCTGTTCAAGGAGAAGCTCCCCCCGATGGCTACTACCGACATGCTGCAGGCTTTTCAGAAGCTCGTCGAGGCGAAGCATGCTATTATCATGGGCCCTGCCGCGCCGCCAGAGCACGTTGACCGCGCGGTGCTCCAGAAATCGCAGGAGGTGCTCTCCGAGGCCACCATCTTGTTCCCGATGGCCGAGCCCCTTAGCCAGGCAATGCTTTCCGTGGGTACGAAGTTGCAGGATATGACCAGGGACGCTCAATTGGACGATGTGCGCGACAAGCTCGAGAAGCTGGCACGGCCGCACGATGATGACCGAGAGTCGGATTGGTTGCAGGCGTTCGCACTGACCGACTGCAGCGCCGTAATCAAGCTCATGACGGAGATTCGCATCACCGCTGAGCATCCCCTCGCCTCTATTGCTGTCAGACTCGCCAACGCCATCGTGCATTGCCGATCCACGGAGATCGGGGGTGGCAGGGTGGACGACGCGAGGCTTCATGAAACAGTGGTTGTTGCTGCAGGGCTGGCCAATCAGTGCGGCACGAGCCTTGACGGCCTCGCGGTCAAGACTGCCGCTCTGGAGAAAACGCTCGCCGTCAAGTCGATCCATCAGGACTTGTTGGCCCGCGGCCCTGCAACGCATGCGATTGCAACGGGTTCCAATTTCGAGTTGGTCGTGTCCTTGGCCAGGGCTACTGCGCAGCTCCACGAGTTACAGAAGGGTGGTGCTGAGGGCGGGGGCCTCCCTGCCGTCGTGGGGAACGTGCTGGAAGACGCGCAGACGTTCCTGAGAGCTGTGCGTGGCGAGTACGCGCAGGGTGCCTGCGTGAACCTCAGCGGCAAGATCAAGGAGGCCAAGACCATCAGCGGTGGCATGGGTGAGAAGTACTGGATCGAGTACTTCAAGGGGGAGACCTGGGACGACTTCATGAAGCATGCGGAGAGGACCGTGCTCAAGCAGAACCCCGATGACGTGGTCGCAGCGACGGATGGCTTGGCCAGGGCGGGTCGGATCTAGATGCGTTGCGTTGCTGATGCCACCATCCAGCTGTGCCGTGTCGTTCGAAGGGTGTGCCTGGGATGGTTTGTTGTTGCGTTTGCTTATCTTGCCGTGCCAGCCGCTGGCAATCCTTGGCAGGTCGCTCTCGTCGCAGTCGTCGGTTTCCCATTGGAACCCCCAGGGCCGACCTTGTTTCCATCGCCCTCCTTGGGACGATCCTCGGCTGTTGGATGGGGGCAATCAGCAGTGCAGCGCATTCGGATTGCCTTGAAGGCTCTTGTGCTGTACCAGACGCATGCGGACGCTGGTGGGATCGAGCAGAAGGCCGAGTTGGTGGACCTCGCAAAGCAGGAGCTCTGCAAGCTCGACACGACGAAGTTCCAGGGGTGCTTGACGTACCATTTCAAGTCGGAGAAGACGGCAGCTTCGCTGCGCTCGCGGGTCCAGGCGGAGGTGAAGGCGTTCAAGGCGAAGCACGAGGACTACGCCAAGGCGTTGCCGAGCCTCCTCGGCAAGCAGGTGAAGGAGGCACTCGCCATGCAGCTGAAGTTCTGACGGCGCCTCTTCATCGAGGGCGCCGTCCGTGGTGCCTGGCTGGCCTGTGGCATGCGCGTTTGCCACGCGCATCGCCAGCCATGCGCACTGTGTTGGAGCGTTGGCGGTGTGTGTGGGACGACCGCCAGCGGCTTCAGGAACAACTGGTCAGGTCTCAGACGATTGTTTGATGATGGCAGGAAGCGTTGAGCCTGGCCAGAGGGATGAGGATAATGAGGAGTTGGGTGAAGAAGATGATGACGAGGATGTCCCACTACACCCTTCACGTACGCACCCAACCACTTTGCACTTCCTTTACCTTCTCGTTGCTCCCGTCATCATATTCGGCATTAGCTCTCGCCCGTCCTCCAGACTTACCGCGTGCCCCTTCTGAGCCACTGGTGTGGCATGTATGTTTTTTCTGTTTCTGCCGTTGTTCGCCGCTCTTTCCCCTCCCCCCTCAACACCGCGGCGATCCTGCCTTGGTTCGTCCTACCAGGTGCCCCCCCCCCACACACGCGCACATTTCCCCTCGCCCTCCCCGCACTCAATGGCCCCGCCCCCCGATCGCCGCTGCCTTCCGTCAGCGACCACCCATCCTCGTCGCCAATGTAGTCGTCGCCGCCGCGGTCACTTGGCGAGTATTCGGGCTGCCCGCATGTTACAGGGGGCTGGGGGGTGAGGCGATAGAGCCATCGACCAGAAATCTTGGGGCGCTGCACCAATGGTCACGGTTATCAAGAAACAGCAAAAACGCATCGCAACGTAAAACAGACATCGTAAACATGTGATCGTAGTGTATACCGCAATGCGTTGCAGCAAGGCCGTCGGCATGTTGCTCTACGGTCGTTGCCTTATCCTACCATGGTCCCTCTTATGTTTGCCTGCGCTACTTGTATGCCCTGTGCGATGCAATGATACCCTCTGGGATGTCAATATGTTCCCTCCCCTCCCCCCCGTCATTGCCAGGCTCCGTTTCCGTCGTTGTCATCGCGATCCCTGGCACCTGCTGAATCATATCCTGGAAACCCGTCCCGCGTCTCGACCCCTGGAGCCTCGCATGCCACGCCTCCCCCTTGGCGCCCCTCCTCCCAAGGAAAACTCTCAGGCCAAGGCGCCCTCGCCCCCGCATCCACGCCATGCCCGTTCGTGGATGGTTTCTTCCACCGCGTTTTCTCCGCGTCCAAATTCAGTTTTGCCATCCCATGTCCTTGTCATTTTTTTCAGTTCGGGCCCAGGGTCGTGTCAGGTTAAACGTGTTGGCTTGCGGTGTCTTCTGAATTTGGCCTTCGCGCCCACGTGGGGTCCGCGGGGAGCTGTCGTGCCGCTCCGTCTATGGGCACCGCTGCTGTTCCAGTTCAGCGGCGCGTCGCGTTGTTTTGTAAAACCCGACCCACGGGCCGTGCCAATATCCAAATTATTCAGCGTGGTGCGTTTGACCCCTGGTGCTGCAAGATGGACGGCGTCGTTCATACTCTGTCAGGGTTGTGTCTTCGAGCCCACATTGTAGCCTGGCTGATCCACGATGTGTTGGGCGCGCTGCTGTTACGCCGTCGCATGCGATGTTTCTTTTTGCGCGCCTGTCCGCGCCCGACCCTCCCCCGACCTACATTCGGGGTTTCGTTTTAGCTTCTTTTGCGAAAATGCCGAAACCTTTTTTGAACCTAGTTTGAACCTTTCTTGGTGTTTTCCCAACATGGGCGCCTCACCAGGGGACCCGACATCATAACCCTTGGGTACCCTTCGAGCTCGCGCTGGGTCGGGGATGACCGGCAGCTTCGCGCTCGAGGCGGGCCGCTGGCGGGAGAGCAAGCGGTTGAAGGCGATTGAGGAAGAGCGAGCAGGAGGTCAGAGGATGAAAAGGTACCGTTACCGCTATCCTTACCTCGTTTTCGCTTTGTTGGACCTCGTGGGAGGCCCTCGTCGCCACGGCTGGATTCGCTTCGAATTTCTGGTCAAAACGCACCCCGCGAGAGGAGAGTTCTGGAGAGTAGTAGTGGTATCAGTCTATTTCCCTAGCGGGAGGGTAGTGATCGAGCGTGAGTAGGGGCCCCGCGGCAGGACAGGAGCAAGAGAGGGAGGGGCGATGGAGGTGGAGCGCGAGGCGAAGGCGGAGGTGTGCCTTCGGAGGCGGGGGAGGACGGGAGGAGGGAGGGGAAAGACGTTTCAGGGGTATTAAGGGCGTCTTGGCGGTTCTAGGTTGTTTCACGTGGCCCTCGTATCTCTTTTAGATCAATGGGATGACGAAGAGGAGGAGGAGGAGGTGGAGGAGGAGGAGGCGGAGGGAGGAGGGGGCGGCAGGCAGGGGCAAGACGAGGAAAAGATGGAGAACGAAGGGCAGAGCTGGAGGAGGCGAGGAACACCAGCAGGAGTACAAAAGGAGGGAGCCGCACCCTCCTTGTCCTCTTGCCCTCCCTCCCCGCACCACACCTCCTCCCCTCCTCCAGCCTTTTTCCCTCTGCCTTTCTCCCCTCCCCCTCCTCCTCCTCCTCCTCCTCCTCCTCCTCCTCCTCCTCCTCCTCCTCCTCCTCCCTCTCCTCCTCCCCCCCCCCCGCCTCACTGCCGGCGCTGTCGGCCTCCCGCGGAGGGGCACCCGAGCAAAAAGAGAGAGCAGCCCTTCCCTACCGCTCGCCGTGGGGCCCCCGCCCTGCCGCCCCCCCTTGCGAGCAGGAAAAAAAAAAGCAGGCGCGCGCGCGACACCGCGCGGTGGGAGGCGTTGCACGCTGTCGGGCTCGGAGTGTAGTGGAACCGCCCCCGGACGGGGTGGTGACCACACCGTGTGGTGAGTCGGTGGGGATTCGGGACGGCCGCACGGTTGCGTGACTCGGGTCCCTCTCCGAGGACGTTTCGGGCGACAGGGACCTCGTAACCCCAAGAGGCCTTACCGCACGGTTCGGCGCCGCACGGAGGGGCCCGAGTCACGAAACCGTGCGGCAATCCCGAGTCAGTGGGGATGCGGGATTGCCGCACGGTTTCGTGACTCGGGTCCCTCTCCGAGGACGTTTCGGGCGACAGGGACCTCCAGGGTCCCTCCAGACCGTGCGGCGCCAGACCGTGCGGTGAGGTCTTTTAGGGTTCCGAGGTCACCGCACGGTCTGTCACCACACGGTGTTGGGATCCCCAAACCCACGCCAAGGAGCACCTTGCTTGCCTCCAGGGTGCCATGGATTTCCTGGGCTTCGATGGTTTGGCGATGGAGAGCGTGACGTTCCCACACCAACATCAGTGGACGTCTTGGGGGTCAGGGTTGGGTTTCTTGTGGAAGGTTTCTTGCGGTCGAAATCCTACTGTGGCTCCGTGGTCGTGCGGGTCAGACGGCAGCAGGTCGCCGTTTTCGTTTCAATCCTCGGAGGAGCAAAATATTCCCATTTTGCCGCCGTCGCCTCAGAATCCTGGTCAGAACGCACCCCAGGAAAGGTCGAGGGAGTAGCAGTATCGGTACCGCTTGGTTTCCACAGGATGGCAGGAGGTCGCCGTTCTATCATCCAGTGCTTCGCCGATCGGCGCCTAGGCCCCCGCCCCCCCCTCCCTTGGCTGCTCTCGCCGTCTGCCTCTGTCGATTGGTCAGGCCCCCCCCCCGCCCAGTCTGCCTGCGCGACTGGCAAGATCAGATCGACTGAGCACCAACCCAGACCCATAACCCCTCCCCTCCCCCACCCTTCGGCCAAATGTCGACACCCAGAAGGGAAAAAAACGTTTTCATGGTAGCGAACACTAAGTGTTGCTTTGCTGCCACGCTGTGCACTCTGTCACCTGCCGGTCTCACACAATCATCAAACAGCTCGCCTTGCATATTGTTGCACGGCCCCTTTTCCACTTGGCTCGTGATGCGAACGGCACGCGCGCGAACTATCGGGGTGTACAGGCCCATGCTGAGCGTGAAAGGGTGCATCGTTGCATGATTCCGAACGTCCCTTCGGAGCAAGATGCTGCCGAATCGGCAAAGTTTTACTCCGAGCCTGCTTGGCCGCCGGGTGCATATTGAGGCCACTTGAGCGATGTAGAATCAAACAGGGCCGACCGCGGGGCACCCGAGCGTACTGTCACAATCCACAGTAAGCATGCGCTGTTTCACTATTCGGCGGCGAGCGAGGAGGGGAAGTGAGAAGGAGGAGGCCTTCTCAGAAGGCGGCGTGACTGCTCAGAGGCCCTCCTGCCTTCTGACAAGTTTTCGGTGTATTCGGGTAAGGTTCAGAACAACTGTTCAGAAGGTCGGAGGTCTGCTGAGCCTTCTCGGAAGACTCCTTCTCATTTCCCCCTTCGCTCGCCGCCGAATTCAGGCTACCCGTGCACCCCTGCTCCTTCGTCCCATCCTGAGCCACTGTTGACGCCCACGGAGCTCTGCACGGCAAGTGGGACTTCTGAAGGTCTCGCACCCTTACCTTGCATCCTTAGAACTGGGTTCTGACTGCAGAGCCAGACAGGGCCGACCGCGGGACATCCGAGCGCAAGCTGCCCACGAGAGGCCGCGCTCGCCCTGCCGGATCAGATCGCGAAGGCCTTACGACCGGCGCCGCCGACCCAGAAGGGGGACGACGACGAGAAAGTCGGCGGAGGCGACGGCGACGCTGAGCTCCTCATCCACCGCCCCGCTCGCGCTGCCGCTGCCGCCGCCCACTGCCTCGCCGCGCCGGATCAGATTTTCGCCCGGCGCGCCTCGTCGAGCCGGGCAGCCCGCCTCCCTCGGCCCTTGCCCCGCTCCGCCGCCCTGCCTCCATCCCCCCGTTCTCGTTCCTCTCACTGCTCGTGCTGCCCTCCCCATCCCATCTCCCTCCTCCCATCCCTCCTCCACCCTCTCGCTCCAGCGTTCCCTCGCCTTTCATTTCAGCTGACCCCTCCCCAGCAGGTAGGTAGCTGGCTGTTGGGTGTACATCGGTGACAGCGTCTGACTCACATGACAAGGTATGGTATTCCTCTCCCCCTCTCTCTCGGTCTCTCTCTCTCTCTCTCTCTCTCTTTCTCTCCTTTCTCCCTGCCACAACTACACAGCTACCCAGACTAAGGTCAGCAACACTGCCCTAAAGTAATTCAAAATACTCGAGCGCAAGCGCAACCACACTAAGTTAGAGGCGGTGGCTCTGTCAACTCAAGGAGATGGAAGACGGTTGGTGTGGCGACATCGGATGTGGATACATGATAGCGTTTGTGACGCTCGCGCTTGGTACCAAGGCCATCGACAGGCGGAACCATTGCTGACTAACACCCAGAGAGTGGCATTGACACAGGTATGGCACAACGACAGCAAAGTCCGGAATACCACGGTCCATGGTAGAACATGTACGCCGAGCCACGAAACAGCCAAAATGTGGCAAGCGCAGCGAGTCTGTCATGTTTACATCGAAAGTATCCAAAGGCAGAACCACGATCAAGAAACACGTACTTGAGCTCTACAACGTCATATTCTAACGCACGCTCACCCTTCGGGCGATGAGGAGGTTTGGTGGGAGATTGGCGCAGCTTTCTATCTTCGCGTCGGACCACATGCAGGATCTATCGAACGAGCTCGATATACACGTACGGATCACATTTGCACGTACGTATTGTATGCTCATCATATAATATACAGAGATTCCTTTTCTACAAGTCTCACGTGACAGTCTCACAGTGTCGGATACGTATATGCATGTGCACGTGTATGTTTGTACACACATCTATATATGTTCAGGTGAGTGTGTGTGTACACACACACACACATAGATATCCCTGGGGACGACGGCCGGGTGCCCTGGCTCAGAAACCTCTACCCGTTGTGGGGGGGCCACCGCCCTCCGAACGGCCCCAGGCAGCTCGGCGAGCGGTTCCCGGCGGCACGGGAGGCCCCAGGCCCACGCTCTGATTGGCCCAGGAGCGCCCGAGAACGCCAACGGTGGGCGCCAGACGGCCCAAAGCTGTTCCCCGAGGCCCCACGGGCGTTCCAGCCAGGTGCAGCCAACAGACTAAGCAGTACACGTGGTCATGCAGTTGTTGCCCCTTCAATTTTAGCGCCGATCGTTGAATTTGGCGACGAGCGTCGCTAAACATTTCACGACGGATACCTCTCGACAACGACGATGGCGCGATGCTGTTCCAAGAGGGAGCTCACTTCGCCTGCAATGGGACCAGCTTTTAACGCATGGAAGCCAATATGACAACTCCCAGGCCACGTTGAAATCTGGTCGGCGACGCGCGTGGAGTTGTACATGGCCCGCGCGGGGTCCGCGTGACGTGTCGGACCCGCAGTTCGCCAGCGCGCGCGCGCAAACGAGCGGCGCGTCCCTTGGACGATTGCTAACGCTCTGCGTCAGAACATGAGAAGAACTTCCTCCCCCGCCCTCAGTTTTATTAGTTTCCTTCGGGGTGGTGAAGTGGTTGCCGACCTCGTCTCCCGTACTGGAACGCCAGACTCTGGTGTGCCTGCCATGCGCCGCCTGGTTTCCACCGTCTTGTGATTACTTTCTTCTGCGCGCGTCGTCGCTGCCCCGCCACGCGTTGCCAAGCGTGCAATTGTCGTCACCGTTGTGCGCACCTGGGTGGTCGAGGGGCCTGCTGGCGCGCGCATACGTAACTACCCGCATGATATTTCGCCCCGCTGCAGGTTGCCGAGCGTGAGGTATGCGCAATTTCTTTTCGCCCCCGGTTGCGGTGGGGCGCGCGCGCATGTGCATGTGAACGCGCAATTGCGCGTGCGTGCCTGTTGGGTGGCGGTGGTGGGTGGGGGGGTCAGCGACATGGTAGTACGTGAAGGTCCAAATAAGACCTTGCAGTCCTGGACGGCGCCAGCAACATGCAAGGGTTGCGGCTTTCTCACTT